ATGTCGGAGGAAACTGTCCGTGTATCTCCATACACACGTCCTTCTCATTGTCGTCTGCTCGCTTGCAATTCTGGATGCCGTCTGCGTCATTGGTCAACTTATCTGCGATATCCTAATCATGAAAGGTCAGATTTTTTGCCTTTATTAAATAAAATATTGAAATAGTTTGTTTGAAAATGTGTAAAAACAGAACTGTTAAATGTTATAATTTCATTTCCAATCAAACGCATGTTATCAAATCCATATTTAATGAATATAACCAGGCACTGGAGGAGGGATGTGGCTGCCTATGCTTCCAAGGTTATTTTTTTCAGTTTAGATAGAAACCCAGTTAAACGAATAGTTAAACAAAAATTACTACAGAAGTTATCGTTAAGAGCGCCATGTTACATCGCGCGCTTTAGGTTTATAGGCATTTGTATATAACTAAGGTTTCCTGACGTCAAAGGTCTTTTGTCACAGATGCACATATAAGATTTAATTGGGATCAAAACAACATACGAGAAGTTTAAGTGTGATCAGGACAATGTACAATGATTTAACTGCGATCTAGACAACTTATAATTGTTTAACTGTGATCACGACAATATACAAGGGATTAAACTGTAATAAAGACAATATACAATATAGAATTGGTTTAACTGTGAACATGACAACATAGAATTGGTTTAACTGTGAACATGACAATATAGAATTGGTTTAACTGTGAACATGACAATATAGAATTGGTTTAACTGTGAACATGACAATATATAATTGGTTTAACTGTGAACATGACAATATAGAATTGATATAACTGTGAACATGACAATATAGAATTGGTTTAACTGTGAACATGACAATATAGAATTGGTTTAACTGTGAATATGACAATATACAATTGGTTTAACTGTGAACATGACAATATAGAATTGGTTTAACTGTGAATATGACAATATACAATTGGTTTAACTGTGAACATGACAATATAGAATTGGTTTAACTGTGAACATGACAATATAGAATTGGTTTAACTGTGAACATGACAATATAGAATTGGTTTAACTGTGAATATGACAATATACAATTGGTTTAACTGTGAACATGACAATATAGAATTGGTTTAACTGTGAACATGACAATATAGAATTGGTTTAACTGTGAACATGACAATATAGAATTGGTTTAACTGTGAACATGACAATATATAATTGGTTTAACTGTGAACATGACAATATAGAATTGATATAACTGTGATCATGACCATATAAAATGGGTCTAGCTGTGAGCTGGAGACCATATAGAAAGTTAAAATGCGATTAGACACTGCTGAGGTAGTTTAACTTGATCAAACAATATTTTTGGGGGTTTAAATGTGATCAGGACAATATACAAGAGGTTTAACTGTGACAAGGATAACATAGTATAGTTTTTACTGTGATCAGGACAATGTAGAAGAGGTTTAACTGTGACAAGGATAACATAGTATGGTTTTTACTGTGATCAGGACAATATAGAAGAGGTTTAACTGTGACAAGGATAACATAGTATGGTTTTAACTGTGATCAGGACAATATAGAAGAGGTTTAACTGTGACAAGGACAACATAGTATGGTTTTTACTGTGATGAGGACGATATGCCTATCTGCTTAGTTGAACAGGGTACATCCTATTAGCACTCTGTGAAGGCGCTACAAATGGTCTAATTATAACTGCTTAGGAGGTTCAACGTGATAAATGGCATGTACCCTGATGGATTTCTAAGCACATAGGGCTGGAAAGTTGGTTAGAGAAAGAGAGACACTCCAGCGTGCTGTGAAGAGAGCGATATTCTGTAAAGAATATGCTTACCGACTAATTTATTGCTCTTGATGCCGTCGTTCCATGTTCTGTATGATCTTCCCCCTTGCTCTGGGTCCATTACGTGGCTGTCTGCAGTAGCGGTACCAGGACATGCTCCTCAATGGACAGACCATCTCATCTGTCGCTCTTTACTAAACTGTACCACAGATTTCAGTCTTAATCTTCCGATTTCTTTAGTATCAGCTGTATGTCATCTGTCGCTCTTTACTAAACTGTACCACAGATTTCAGTCTTAATCTTCCGATTTCTTTAGTATCAGCTGTGTGTCATCTGGCGCTCTTTACTAAACTGTACCACAGATTTCAGTCTTAATCTTCCGATTTCTTTAGTATCAGCTGTATGTCATCTGGCGCTCTTTACTAAACTGTACGACAGATTTCAGTCTTAATCTTCCGATTTCTTTAGTATTAGCTGTATGTCATCTGTCGCTCTTTACTAAACTGTACCACAGATTTCAGTCTTAATCTTCCGATTTCTTTAGTATCAGCTGTATGTCATCTGTCGCTCTTTACTAAACTGCACGAAAGATTTCAGTCCTAATCTTCCGATTTCTTTAGTATCAGCTGTATGTCATCTGTCGCTCTTTACTAAACTGTACCACAGATTTCAGTCTTAATCTTCCGATTTCTTTAGTATCAGCTGTATGTCATCTGTCGCTCTTTACTAAACTGTACCACAGATTTCAGTCTTAATCTTCCGATTTCTTTAGTATCAGCTGTATGTCATCATTCGCTCTTTACTAAACTGTACGAAAGATTTCAGTCTTAATCTTCCGATTTCTTTAGTATTAGCTGTATGTCATCTGTCGCTCTTTACTAAACTGTACCACAGATTTCAGTCTTAATCTTCCGATTTCTTGAGTATCAGCTGTATGTCATCTGTCGCTCTTTACTAAACTGCACGAAAGATTTCAGTCTTAATCTTCCGATTTCTTTAGTATCAGCTGTATGTCATCTGTCGCTCTTTACTAAACTGTACGACAGATATCAGTCTTAATCTTCCGATTTCTTTAGTATCAGCTGTATGTCATCTGTCGCTCTTTACTAAACTGCACGACAGATATCAGTCTTAATCTTCCGATTTCTTTAGTATCAGCTGTATGTCATCTGTCGCTCTTTACTAAACTGCACGACAGATTTCAGTCTTAATCTTCCGATTTCTTTAGTATCAGCTGTATGTCATCTGTCGCTCTTTACTAAACTGCACGAAAGATTTCAGTCTTAATCTTCCGATTTCTTTAGTATCAGCTGTATGTCATCTGTCGCTCTTTACTAAACTGTACGACAGATATCAGTCTTAATCTTCCGATTTCTTTAGTATCAGCTGTATGTCATCTGTCGCTCTTTACTAAACTGCACGACAGATTTCAGTCTTAATCTTCCGATTTCTTTAGTATCAGCTGTATCTCTTCTTGCTGCAAATAAAAGTTGTAAACACACAATATAGGTATACAAACAGTCTGAAATGATAAATAAATTGTTGTTGTGAGTATGTTTGGCTACAATCACAGGCTGCCTGTAGCTTAAGTGGCTGATCTAGGTGCACGCACTTAGCCACAAACAATGACAAGATTTCCATCGTCTTTGACGCCCGCGACTTCTTAGTCCGATGATTAACACCTATAGAAATCATTACAACGATGGGTTTTCACTATGAAAATGCTAGCAACAAATGAATAATCACATTAATACAACTTCAACTAGGACTAACAGAAGAACACAATAACATCTTTTCTTTCAACTTTCAGAACTTCGCTCCGGGAAATAAAAAGTTTAACATGAAGATAAAGGGAAACGTATAGGGAACAAATAAATAACATACGATACAATATAGTGCTGAAGAAGAATATAGACTTTTTTTTTTTTTTTTTTCAAGTCTAAACAAGAAAAAAAAAATAAGCCGTTTCAGCAGAATATTTTAATCCTGAATAAGGCGAAATAAAAACACAAAAGACCACAGTAACACGTAGTAAGGCAGTAATGTTTGGCGACAGAACACATATTTAAGTATAACGATTGAGACAAAACGAAGTGTTTGAATACCCGAAACACACAAAATACTTCACAGGGGAGATGAGGGTATTGCAGATAGTTCATGGATGTTGTCTATTGATAATATCTCTGATGTGGTCTGTCCACTTGTTTATAACTGCATCATTTGTGTCGTTTGCCGATGAAGCGTGGCGTTCATTTAGTCCTTCATTATTTTGCTTATGTAAAGTTGAATAGCTAGCTCTTTTTTTCACCGAGACTGATAACTTCTTTTTCTTTGATATATACTTCCTCTGTCTCTCTCCTTCTCTCTGCCTATGTCCATTTCGTCGCTCTGTCTTCCTACCTCTGTCTCTCTACATGCTTATTACGTAATCCCTATCTCTCATTTGATCTATATATCTGTACGTATCATATATTATGTGTCTATTGTCACTATTTATCCTCTTCCATGATCTGCACATTTTACCACATCTCTCATGATCTGCATAGTTTACCACATCTCTCATGATCTGCATAGTTTACCACATCTCTCATGATCTGCACAGTTTACCACATCTCACATGATCTGCATAGTTTACCACATCTCACATGATCTGCATAGTTTACCACATCTCTCATGATCTGCATAGTTTACCACATCTCACATGATCTGCATAGTTTACCACATCTCTCATGATCTGCATAGTTTACCACATCTCACATGATCTGCATAGTTTACCACATCTCACATGATCTGCATAGTTTACCAGATCTCACATGATCTGCATAGTTTACCACATCTCACATGATCTGCATAGTTTACCACATCTCACATGATCTGCATAGTTTACCACATCTCACATGATCTTTATAGTTTACCACATCTCACATGATCTGCATAGTTTACCACATTTCACTTGATCTGCATAGTTTACCACATCTCACATGATCTGCATAGTTTACCACATCTCACTTGATCTGCATAGTTTACCACATCTCACTTGATCTGCATAGTTTACCACATCTCACATGATCTGCATAGTTTACCACATCTCACATGATCTGCATAGTTTACCACATCTCACATGATCTGCATAGTTTACCACATCTCACATGATCTGCATAGTTTACCACATCTGACATGATCTGCATAGTTTACCACATCTGACATGATCTGCATAGTTTACCACATCTGACATGATCTGCATAGTTTACCACATCTGACATGATCTGCATAGTTTACCACATCTCTCATGATCTGCATAGTTTACCACATCTCACATGATCTGCATAGTTTACCACATCTCACATGATCTGCATAGTTTACCACATCTGACATGATCTGCATAGTTTACCACATCTCACATGATCTGCATAGTTTACCACATCTCACATGATCTGCATAGTTTACCACATCTCACATGATCTGCATAGTTTACCACATCTCACATGATCTGCATAGTTTACCACATCTCACATGATCTGCATAGTTTACCACATCTCTCATGATCTGCATAGTTTACCACATCTCTCATGATCTGCATAGTTTACCACATCTCTCATGATCTGCATAGTTTACCACATCTCCCATGGTCTGCATGTTGTCACTATCTTTCATATTGCCTGCTACTGCCACAGAAAAACTGGATTATTTCGAGGAGATCGACAAAGATCTGACCAAGGAACTCTTGATACACATGCCGCATCTGAACAAATCGCTTCATGATCAATGGAACCTGCACGCCATCCTGTCCGTCCTAGTCGGAAGAGACATCCACAACGACGGGGGAGCATTGACTCCCCCCGAAACATCCACAATACCGTGAGTTTTTGCAAATTGTTAAGTGGAGCTTGGAATTTGTAGGCATCAGACCTAGAGTGACCTGCAGAGTTATCTCCTTCTTCTTACTGTCGTTTCCCGGCTGAAAACCCCAACGGAAAGTTTTGGTTGCTCATCCACTTCTAGACTTGAGTCTTGTCATAGAATTTGTGTTTTTGTGTGCAAATCCGTTTCACAGATCTGGCTTACTTGTATTCATACTGTTTGGTTCCTCGCATCTCAGACAGATGCACTGGCTCAGACAGATGCTCTGGCTCAGACAGATGCACTGGCTCAGACAGATGCACTGGCTCAGACAGATGCACTGGCTCAGACAGATGCACTGGCTCAGACAGATGCACTGTGACTACGAAGTAAACGTGTCTAATCAGAAGGCTTTTACAACTTGCTTGTAACGAAAACCAAAATAAAAAGGAAGGGGTGGGGGGAGGGGGCTCCAGTGCCAACATGGGAGAGCAAAAAAGATCAAACTAGGATTTGAGTCATCAGACAGAAAGTTCACGTAGAGCCAAATCTAAGTTACTTACAAAGAGAACAAAATCAAATGACCACTTAAGAGAGAATGCATTGCGAGGTCGTATCATATAATTTAATGGTCAAAGATGGTAGGAGCGTAGAGTAAGGGGTAGACCAAGAACCAGAGGAAAAGATAACATTATATGTTGAATGTTGAATTAGGAATTGACATCACGGCACTCGGGACACTCCCATAAGTGCTCAGTCGCCATCTTCAGCAGTAAGCAAAAAGTTCCAATTCTGATAACATCAGAAAAACTCTGCAACAGGACAAGGTGGGCGCAGTCGAGGCAGCCAGGAGAGCTGGAACCAAAACTTTATATCTCCATCGAGACAGGAATCAGTAAAAGGGGAAGCGATGAAGTAGAAGAAGAACTGACTTATTTTCATGTAGCCATCTGACAATTTTCATGATAATATTGTAAAAAGGGGCTTCAAATGAAAACCTAAAACGTGTGGAAGACATTACAAATACCATGCGATTGTCTTGTAACCTGTCAGGATTCATGTTAATGAACTATCTGTGAGTAGACTTGCAAGTTTTAAAACGGCGTGATTCCGGCAGGGGTAACTACTCTGTCTGACGTGGTCGCAAACAGTCTTTTGCAGAAATCACGATGACTTGAGACTTCTACTCCACTCATACAAATTCTGGACTGATAGACATGCATCACCATGCTCCAACTTCATTTCCCAAAGATTATCTAGAGGTTTTACCACTTCATTACTGAAGGAAACAATGGATAACAACGCTATTCCTCTTTGGCGTATGTCAAAAGTGGGGCGGCCATCTTTACAGTGTCATTAAGACGTCGCCATGTTAGTTTGCCCTGTGATGTCACCTTCTTAACACTCTTTGACATCCTTAACAACAATATAGGCAGTTACCACTCACTGGTGTGATTACTGTGATTTATATCACATTTTTACAGTCAGGTTTTCATTTGAATCCCCTTTCTAAACATTGTCCGCTAGAAAAAGTCCGCTTGCGGATGATGCACACCACGGACAACGGTTATGGTCATGGACCCCCTTCCCCCCCCCCCCTACCCCCACCACCTTTCCCCCTCGTTTTTCCAATGCAAGGGATGCAGTGAGGCATTTTTCCAGCAATTTATTTTTCACCCCGACATTGAAATGTACAAGAAGAAACAGTTCAGAAACGACAATATCTGGCTTTCCTTTCCGACTGTTTGCAAAGTTAAAAAAAGAACCTGTTCAGATATGACAACATGTGGCATTCTTTCCCGACTGTTTGCAAAATCCACGAGTTCGTTGGTTGTCAGTACGTTCGTTTATCTGTCTGTGAGTCCGGCTCTGTGTGTCTGTTCGTCTTTCAATCTGTCTGTAATGCCACTATAATCGTATTACCCACTTCAATCGTATAACCCACAATAATATTACAATGGCTACCGAGAGCATCCCACTCAACTAAAAGCAGTAAAAATATGAAAGGTAACACTTGAAAGATGATATCACAAACGTTGAAGGTAGATGGTTAACAGATATTATTATTATGTGCATGAAATATGAGCCCTTATTCATAAAATTGTTTCCAGGTGACAGTCATGTCAGCCGATCAAAAACAGACGCGATTACATGATTATGACGGCATTAGAAGCTCTAAACCTGGTGCCCTTTCGCCATTTTTGTCTTAAGACCATCAGATATCCCAGTCAATATATCCCCAGAATTAACAACTATTCTGAAAACCGACTCTTCTTGTTTGCGACAGACCCAAACATTGAGAATATATCTACAAGTGCTTTATAATCTACAATTCCTTTTGATTTTCTAATTTAAACTGGGTTGTATTGGATATCTAATTCCAATCGTTTTGTACGGAATGGTATATCTAATTCCAGTCGTTATGTACGGAAATGGGATTTCTAATTCCAATCGTTATGTGCGGAATAAAATATCTAATTCCTATCGTTATGTGCGGAATGGAATATCTAATTCCTATCGTTATGTGCGGAATGGGATGTCTAATTCCTATCGTTATGTACGGAACAGAATCATGGATATTTAGCTGATTGGTGAAAAATGTCAAAGCGGCAGAGATGTTTTATACTGGAACGATGAATACACATTGGAACTGGGTCGTCATAACAGCATTAAGGGCCCTTGAGAAAACCAGTGTGTTGAGGCCCCTACGACAACCACTCACAGGAAGGACATGTAAATGTTCACTATCATTAAACATATAAATAAAATGTTTTGGCACTTCAACGAAACTTGTGTTAAAACATAAACATGGATTGGATTAGAAGTATAAAATTACTTCGAACGTCTTTTTTTTTTTTTTTTATAACAAGCATCTGCGGCATTTCTGTTCACAGAACTGTTTTATTATTTATTGGCTGTAAGAGACTGGTCCTTAGGGTGTTATTTTGCAAGCACATGAGTGAAGGGCAGTTCAGACTATGCTATCCCACTGTGCAACAAAGTCCATTATTTGTATAAGTTTCAGTCTTTAAAAAATAACAGTCTCCCGTAAAAGGTAAAATCGGGAGATGTGAACCAGCGCCATTGCACACGGCTACAAACTATAAGTGTTCGGCTGCCAGTACGGACAGCTGATAAAAAGCTGTTTGCTTGCGTCGACGTCCGTACGAAACTCTGTATCTACAGCGACGTCTTTGTGATATACTAGTCGTAGTGGTCGTCTTTGTGATATACTAGTCGTAGTGATCGTCTTTGTGATATACTAGTCGTAGTGATCATCTTTGTGATATAATAGTCGTAGTGATCGTCTTTGTAATATAATAGTCGTAGTGATCATCTTTGTGATATAATAGTCGTAGTGATCGTCTTTGTAATATAATAGTCGTAGTGATCGTATTTGTGATTAACTAGTAGTGATCGTCTTTGTAATATAATAGTCGTAGTGATCGTCTTTGTAATATAATAGTCGTAGTGATCGTATTTGTGATATACTAGTCGTAGTGATCGTCTTTGTAATATAATAGTCGTAGTGATCGTATTTGTGATACACTAGTCGTAGTGATCGTCTTTGTATTATACTAGTCGTAGTGATCGTCTTTGTGATACGCAAGTAGTGATCGCCTTTGTAATATAATAGTCGTGGTGATCGTCTTTGTGATATACTAGTCGTAGTGATTGTCTTTGTATTATACTAGTCGTGGTGATCGTCTTTGTAATATAATAGTCGTAGTGATCGTCTTTGTGATATACTAGTAGTGATCGTCTTTGTAATATAATAGTTGTCGTGATCGTCTTTGTGATATACTAGTCGTGGTGATCGTCTTTGTATTATACTAGTCGTAGTGATCGTATTTGTGATACACTAGTCGTAGTGATCGTCGTAGTGATATAATAGTCGTGGTAATTATCTGTGTGATATACTAGTCGTAGTGATCGTCTTTGTATTATACTAGTAGTGATCGTCTTTGTAATATAATAGTCGTAGTGATCGTCTTTGTGATATACTAGTAGTGATCGTCTTTGTAATATAATAGTTGTCGTGATCGTCTTTGTGATATACTAGTCGTGGTGATCGTCTTTGTATTATACTAGTCGTAGTGATCGTATTTGTGATACACTAGTCGTGGTGATCGTCTTTGTAATATAATAGTCGTGGTGATCGTCTTTGTGAGATACTAGTCGTGGTGATCGTCTTTGTGATATACTAGTCGTGGTGATCGTCTTTGTGATATACTAGTCGTAGTGATCGTCTTTGTGATATACTAGTAGTGATTGTCTTTGTGATATACTAGTCGTAGTGATCGTCTTTGTGATATACTAGTCGTGGTGATCGTCTTTGTGATGTACTAGTAGTGATCGTCTTTGTATTATACAAGTCGTGGTGATCGTCTTTGTAATATAATAGTCGTGGTGATCATCTTTGTGAGATACTAGTCGTGGTGATCGTCTTTGTGATATACTAGTCGTGGTGATCGTCTTTGTGATATACTAGTCGTAGTGATCGTCTTTGTGATATACTAGTAGTGATTGTCTTTGTGATATACTAGTCGTAGTGATCGTCTTTGTGATATACTAGTCGTTGTGATCGTCTTTGTGATATACTAGTAGTGATCGTCTTTGTGATACACTAGTCGTGGTGATCGTCTTTGTGATATGTTGGTCTTAGTGATCGTCTTTGTATTATACTAGTTGTAGTGATAGTCTTTGAGATATACTAATAGTGATCGTCTTTGTAATATAATAGTCGCAGTCATGGGCTTTGTGATATACTAGTCGTAGTGATCGTCTTTGTAATATACTGGTAGTGGTGATCGTCTTTGTGATATACTAGTCGTAGTGATCGTCTTTGTGATATACTAATCGTAGTGATCGTCTTTGTGATATACTAGTCGTAGTGATAGTCTTTGTGATATATTAGTCGTAGTGATCGTCTTTGTGATATGTTGGTCTTAGTGATCGTCTTTGTGATGTACTAGTCGTAGTGATCGTCTTTGTGAGACACTAGTCGTAGTCATATACTAGTCGTGGTGATCATCTTTGTGATATACTAGTCGTAGTGATCGTCTTTGTGATGTACTAGTCGTGGTGATCGTCTTTGTGATAAACTAGTAGTGATCGTCTTTGTAATATAATAGACGTGGTGATCGTCTTTGTGATATACTAGTCGTGGTGATCGTCTTTGTGATGTACTAGTAGTGATCGTTTTTGTAATATACTAGTCGTGGTGATCGTCTTTGTAATATACTAGTCGTGGTGATCGTCTTTGTGATATACTAGTAGTGATCGTCTTTGTAATATACTAGTCGTAGTGGTCGTCTTTGTGATATACTAGTAGTGATCGTCTTTGTAATATACTAGTCGTGGTGATCGTCTTTGTTATACACTAGTCGTGGTGATCGTCTTTGTGATATACAAGTCGTAGTGATCGTCTTGGTGATATACTAGTCGTAGTGATCGTCTTTGTGATATACTAGTCGTAGTGATCGTCTTTGTGATATACTAGTCGTAGTGATCGTCTTTGTGATATATTAGTCGTGGTGATCGTCTTTGTGATATACTAGTAGTGATCGTCTTTGTGATATACTAGTAGTGATCGTCTTTGTGATATACTAGTAGTGATCGTCTTTGTGATATACTAGTCGTGGAGATCGTCTTTGTGATATATTAGTCGTGGTGATCGTCTTTGTATTATACCAGTCGTAGTGATCGTCTTTGTATTATACTAGTCGTAGTATTCATCTTTGTGATATACTAGTCGTAGTGATCGTCTTTGTGATATATTAGTCGTGGTGATCGTCTTTGTGATATACTAGTAGTGATCGTCTTTGTGATATACTAGTCGTGGTGATCGTCTTTGTATTATACTAGTCGTAGTGATCGTCTCTGTATTATACAAGTCGTAGTGATCGTCTTTGTGATATACTAGTAGTGATCGTCTTTGTGATATACTAGTCGTAGTGATCGTCTTTGTATTATACTAGTCGTAGTGATCGTCTTTGTATTATACTAGTCGTAGTGATCGTCTTTGTATTATACCAGTCGTAGTGATCGTCTTTGTGATACACTCTCGTATAGCCATGGTAACAACTTTCCTGGTCTATACTAGATCTGCCATAATAGCCACATTGTCGGCCATGTAATCTGCACACCTAGTACCTTGAGCACCTGCATGGCCCAGCAAAAAGATAAAGGTTAGACTCCCCACACACTTGATGTGACAAATCATTCTTTTCTGATGAAGCCGGCCCAGAGTGGGGTGTGTACATCTGAGCTGAGTATCTCCCCATTTTCTCCACAAGTATGACTATGCTGTATCAGGTAGAAAAAAAGGACGTGCAAACCCCGCCCCCTCCCCCTCCTCGAACACCCTCACTCTCCTTTCCTAGCAAATTTCTCACTGCGTATTTCTGTTTGTTCAGCTACATACGAAATATTTTAAGGAAAGGATTGGGCTCGAGAATTAGTAGCACAATCGACGAAAAAAAGTGTAGGCGGATGGTAGACAGATAAGTACATTGACTGCTTGGACACAGGCATAGGGCGGGATAAGAGCACTGAACTGATCAGTGATAGCGTTACAGCTTATGCCTTTTTGCGCAGCACATCATGCTGATTATTTTGATATTTCCAAGAAGAAGGGAGCGCTGAGAAGTTATTTTACTGACCAGGGGCCAGTAGGCCTCCACAGTTTGAGAAACACTGGCATAAACAGTGGTCCTTTTCTCTTCCCTTTCTAGCGGCTTTACTCGAAGTGTCTGGAACAACGCAATGTCCACGATACCATTGACTATTGCATCACGTGACAGTGAGGACACACTACATGTTCGGCTGAAGAGAGCTCTGGAGCCTAAAGTTCCAGGCCATGAAGTCGACCATGGCGTCCTGTATGAGCTGACTCATACCTTTCATCTCGGGAGCATGGCTATTTTGTCTCTGCTTTTATTGGAGGTATATCGTTGTTCTATTACTTGTATTATAATTAAGAGTTTTACATACATGTTTATACGCTTGATTTACTGGATAAAACTCTGCGAGGGTTTACCTGTTTGGATATGGTTTGACTCAGACAGCCTTTGTGTGAACATAGTATTCTGCAAGGCAGCAGGCAGGAGAGGTTATAACGTCGTGTCTGACTCTCAGCTGGCCATGTCACAGCGTTTTCATGTATATTACTGAGCTAACTGTTCGGCGTCTGTGGCTTAGGCGTTGCGAACGCGCTTCGTAATGCCGGGGTGCCGACTTCGATCTCAGCTGCGCCTTGCGATGGTTTCGGCAGTGGTATCGAGAAGCCGACTGTCTGAAAGCAATGGCAAACTATTGGATGATGATGATGTTTGGTCAATTTATGAGAAGAACGAAACTTGAACGTGTTGTGACCACCGGACGTAAATATTGAAAAGAGACAGCGAAAGACAACAGAGAAGAAGATTCTTGACCGCCTTTGATGTAAAGGGGTGTCAGGACACGAACTGATGCATGCTGTTAAAGATGGCAGATTGTGTAGAGACATCATAGTAACAGCCAGTCGGCAAGGCACCAGATAATAATGATAATGATACACATCCTTACTGACACAGGACTGCGGGTTAGACGTGGTTGTTTGGTCTATTACGGGTTAGACGTGGTTGTTTGGTCTTTTACGGGTTAGCCCCAATTAAACAATTGTTCTGTTGTTGAAGGGGATATCTGGGTTCTGCCTTGTTGGTCGACCGTCCGGTCTGAGCTTTTTTTGTACATTTCAGGACAGTATGCCTTCATGTAGCCGCCGGGAGGGGACAAACCGATCTGTAGATTGAGATTTTCTTTGATAATCTTTACAGGATACATGACAACACCTGGAAACAAATAAATTAGTCAGGAAATTATACGGTAGTCTAGAATCTAGACGAACTCAGGTATGGGAGAAAATTTGTATAGATTTCTAGAAACATTAAAAAAAAGAGAACGTGGTGTAGTCTTCGAGAAGAATTGAGAGATAGGAAATAATAGGATTTGGTCTTCTAGACAAATTCACAGTCAGGAACGCATAAAAATGAGAAGTTAGTTGCGTATCCTTTACAGGACGTTGCTGAACCAATTTACTAGGTAAATTTACGTCCAGTAGTTTGCCATTTCTTCTAGACGGTCGGCTTTCTTGATACCACTGTCGAAACCAACGCAAGGCGCATGGCCCACAGCTGAATACTGAAAGATTTCCTTTAAATGGACCAATGAAGAGCGCATGTCAGCAGTAACGTCACTTGGTGACGCAACACGGGTAACCTAATTATAGCTTAATATGAGGCTGAACGGGGTTATCTGTTTTTTTTTTCTTTTTTCTTTTGGATTATCTCACGGGTGCAACTCCTCGAGTCCTAGGTGCTGTTAGTTACAAGGTAAGCGTCCGAAGGGCAGAAAAAAGGACACTCAAATAGGAGTCAAACAATTCACATGTTATGTATGAAGGGTCTGAAGGCAGCAATTATGCAGAATTTATTGCTCTTACCGTGTCCTCACTCTTGCTCAGGTCTACCTCTCTCGTGGTGGGTCCCACTCTCAACAGTAATACAGAGGAGGCTAAAATGGACGATATGCGCGGTCACTGTTTTTTATCGTGGCAATTTTGTTGCTTCTGAAAGACGGTGACCCTGGCATTTTTCTTCATTTGTAGACTGAAGGGATATAGCTATTGAAGGGATACAGCTAATGAGCTAAGGGTTTGGCGTGATACTGTGAGCTGCAGATTTCATTTGAAATGTTTTTCGACTGTGACCAACGTGGTGTTATGAACTCTAGATTCGGAAAATGGCGGGTGGCCGATTGCCATACAATTAGTGGTGCCTTATGTGATTAAAATAATTGATCGCATGTGCAACTGCCATCTGTTTGGAACTGCTGCTTCCTTAGTGACTTCTGCTTCAGTCAACTATGTGTAGCAATTCCAGTCAAAGACTAGGTGTGAGTAAGTGCGTCTTATGGCGGACTGTTCGTTTTAGCACTTCTGGCTACCTTATACTTTAAATGTGTGTGTATGCTACTGGATTCGCTGAGAATGCAGTCTGTGTTAATTTTTCCACAAGGGACAGTTATAGACATTCTTTGTGTTTTCGTTGGCACAGGAGCGGAGCAACTATGGGGTGACCTGTTCGCTATGAAGCTGTGTCTAAGATTACCAAGCTGGGGGTTCATTCCCCTTCTGGGATCACAAACGGGGTCATGGCCAAATACGGTGCCGTCGGCCAGCTTCTGAGTTGAATGCGTGGTGTAACACTATGAGCTGTGAATTTCATGAGTGCTCCCGAAGACATAGGTTGTAAATCCAATATTAAGGAAATGTCAGTGCTAGTTGCCACAGAATTGGGGGTATGCCTTATGTAGTAATGCATGTGAATGTTCTGGTTTGTCGTGACTACTGCTTCCATAAACTATGAGTAGCAATTACAGTAAAAAAAATAGTAGGTGTGAGTGCACCTGAGAACTGCCTTATCAATGTAACATAATACGTGTGCGAGATAATGAATTGTGGCGGTACTGCTGTCTGTTTGACTTCCAGCTTGGGCGGTGATAGGTAGTTTGCCTGCCTTTTACTAGCACAGGAGGGATCAATCATCTGGTGACTCGTCGCAATGAAATTGAAACCCAGAAGAAGTTTCCAAAACAATCCAGCGCCTTAAAAAAGGGACCACAAAATTCCCTGGTGAGAAAATGCTGCAATGGTGATATTTAATAGCTTTCGTCCGCTGGTCAATAAAAAAACATATACCAAAAGCGTGGGACATGTTTTTGCGTGGTTTCTACAGTGGTATGAGAGCCTACCGTTCAGGTTAGTAAGGTACCGAACTTACATCTGCTTTCAAAACCCGCAAAAGCCAAACAAATACTGGCGTTGTTTCCGCAATGTACGGTAAAAGGACAGACTACTCACTTTGCTGAGCGTGTGTGAGTCGTTACTGGGACATAACCGACGCTTTGGATTGAGTTACACAGACTAACATAAGAACTATCATGAGAGATTGAAGGCGTATAGTTATATAAGTTATACAAGTTCGACTTTATCGCGCTTGCTTTCATCCAATTTGTTTCGGTCTCTCTCTCTCTCTCCGCAAAACAGCTCTCCGCCCGCCCGAACGACAGCTTAGACAAATGACGTAACTACTTATCAGTGTGCTATCTGGCAGGAGCAAGACTAAGAATTGTTGCAACAACTGTGCATTGTTAATGCCACCATAAATGAATCTAGAAGGCGTTATTAAATTAGATCAAGGACAGAAAAATGTCGCATGTCGAGATAATGAAGACACCAAGTTTGTAATACCAAGATAAGTTGTTGTTTTTCCCCCTCGCTGTTATGGCTTTCTTCTTGTCACTGGAGGCCTTTCTTGTTTCCTAAAAATTGGTCTTCCTTTTCGTCCCATTCTCAAAATTTCATCTACTCCTCCTTCGCACTCTAGTTCTACTCAGCAGATATACAGCTTTGGACGAGACAGTTTATTCTATCCACTCCTTGCGTTAGTTACACAACAGTCCTTTGTTCTTCTCTGTTATGTTAAAACAAAAACCATAGTACAGTCTGACTTGATTTTCCACAGACAATGCTCAAGGTACTAGCTATGGGGAAGAAGTTAAAGCACCACAAACTGGAGGTAAGATACACAAAAACAGACAAACACATCTTCATAAAGACATACATAACTACTCACAGCAACTCACCGCCCCACAGTCATACACAGCCACACACAGCCACACACAGCCATACAAAGCCACACACTGGCTCAAATAGCCATACACAGTGATAGTGAATATATGTGTTATGTCAAACGATACCTAACCACTTCAGTCCGTTACAAGCAATAAAGCATTTATGTGATAATAGCCAGTAGAAACCATTTTACAGGGGCATTTGTTCAATCGACACATTGTGTTTGTCTATGTTGACAGGGGCATTTGCTCAATAGACACATTGTGTTTGCCTTTGTTGACAGGGGCATTTGTTCAATAGACACATTCTGTTGGTCTATGTTGACAGGGGCATTTGTTCAGTGGAAACATTGTGTTTTATACGCTAACAAATTTGTTCTCATGCTCCTGTATGTGTCAATACTGCTTGTATTGACCTATTTTCAGGGATATGTAAGACGACTGGGGGGTTAGGTGGGTGTGGGGTCGTTGAGCCTAAGGATATAAAGCCAAGTGACTAAATAAAGTAGGTTAAACTAGTATTTATTATCTTATTAAGAATTTAAACCTATGTTTTCTAAATAATAGCCCAGTGGTCTTGAACGGTCGGCCAGCCGCTGTGTTCTTCTATGAATGTTTAACTTTCTTCTCAGCTTAAACTCAATGCTGCTCTTCCAGCTGGTTGATATGAGTGCAAATAAAATGAGATGCTGACTGGGTAAATATATCTGGTTGTTTTCTGACTAACAGGACGTCCTGGGCTGTGACAAGGGGTTCAAAGAAACAGATCATTGATGGGAATGTTAATGTGTTGAAATATAAGTCAAATGTCACGGACAGATACAATCACAAACAAGGGAAATTAGAAATGACAAAAGAATTGCTGTACACGATCAGGACTAAACAAGGAATATCTGAGGCACCTCAACAGACATAATGATGCGCTTCAACATAAATCCGTGTTCACATTGTGCTGCGCCTAACAGAGCCTGAAGTCGTTTGTTTGTTTGTTTTAGTATCCCGAAGCCACGAGTTGTTAACCCTAAGGCTCGATATTATGGATATCGCAACCCTTCGGCCTTGATTCCATTGTAAATACCGTAAATCTGGGAGAATTGTGGCTTTTCTGCCTACCCCCTTGAGTAAACCCGGACCACAGGGAGTTCGTCACCCGGTCTCCGCGCAAACCGGTTTAGCCAACTACACTAGAGAGCCGGGCGGATCCTGAAGTTAAGTGGCCAAAGTAGACATGCGACTAACCCAGTAACCACTGGAACTTTGATCTTCCCTTACTCTTCAGCCTCTTCTGATAGAGTGTCCTTACCCGCGCAGGACTGCATGTAACATCTGGATGGTTTAGCCATTACGGGTGGCTTCATTATTACTTCTTCGTAGGTTAAATGGGGTATCCGTGATCTGCCTTCTTGGGCTGCCATCCATAATGAGATATTTTATTCTAAGAATAACATCGTAAGCCTTTAAGTAGCAGCCAGGGGAGACAAACAAATCGATCGATTCTGAGGGAAAACGGTGTATAAATCATCATTATCAAGTGTTATGATATCGATGGGGACCAATTCTGACACCATCACCAGCAACATCACATAACACAAAGATTTGGTCCTATAACATGTTCACTTTCAAAGTCGTGATAACATATCACTTATATCATGTACCATAGATTTTTCATGAATTATTCACTTGTGCCCTGTATCTCATGTTTTTCATGAATTATTCACTTGTGCCCTGTATCTCAGGTTTTTCATGAATTATTCACTTATATCCTGTTTCTCATATTATTATTTTTTTTTTGGGGGGGGGGGGGGGGGGGGGGAATAATTATTCACTTGCATCCGGTATCTGGGATTTTTTTAATGAATCATTCAACTATTTCCTGTATCTCAGATTTTCGATGCGGTCATTGTGACGATCTCCTGGGCTCTAGACGTGGGTCTCTCAGAAGGCATTTGGGCACATCCGGGCTCCGAGGCGGCCACGTTCCTAATGTACCTTCTGCCCTGGAGAGTTATCAGGATTGTCAACAGTAAGATTCTCGTGCTTCTGTCCATGTCTCTGTAATCACATTACCTCTGTGAGAGTTGTAGACAATTACCTGGGATCTGTAATCACATTACCTCTGTGAGAGTTGTAGACAATTACCTGGGATCTGTAATCACATTACCTCTGTGAGAGTTGCAGACAATTACCTGGGATCTGTAATCAAATTACCTCTGTGAGAGTTGCAGACAACTACCTGGGATCTGTAATCACATTACCTCTGCGAGAGTTGCAGAATAGTTACCTGGGATCTGTAATCACATTACCTGTGTTAGAGTTGCAGACAATTACCTGGGATCTGTAATCACATTACCTCTGTTAGAGTTGCAGACAATTACCTGGGATCTGTAATCACATTACCTCTGTGACAGTTGCAGACAATTACCTGGGATCTGTAATCACATTACCTCTGTTAGAGTTGCAGACAATTACCTGGGATCTGTAATCACATTACCTCTTTTAGAGTTGCGGACAACTACCTGGGATCTGTAATCACATTACCTCTGTGAGAGATGCAGACAATTACCTGGGATCCGTAATAACATTACTTGTTTAAGCGTTGCAGACAATTACCTGGGATCTGTAATCACATTACCTCTGTGAGAGTTGCTGACAATCACCTGGGATCTGTAATCACATGAACTGTGTAAGAGTTGCAGACAATTACCTGGGATCTGTAATTACACGACCTGTGTAAGAGTTGCAGACAATTACCTGGGATCTGTAATTACACGACCTGTGTAAGAGTTGCAGACAATTACCTGGGATCTGTAATTACACGACCTGTGTAAGAGTTGCAGACAATTACCTGGGATCTGTAATTACACGACCTGTGTAAGAGTTGCAGACAATTACCTGGGATCTGTAATTACACGACCTGTGTAAGAGTTGCAGACAATTACCTGGGATCTGTAATTACACTACCTGTGTAAGAGTTGCTGACAATTACCTGGGATCTGTAATCACATTACCTCTGTGAGAGTTGCTGACAATTACATGGGATCTGTAATCACACGACCTGTGTAAGAGTTGCAATTACCTGGGATATGTAATCACACGACCTGTGTTAGAGTTACTGACAATTACCTGGGATCTGTAATCACACGACCTGTGTAAGAGTTGCAGACAATTACCTGGGATCTGTAATCACACGACCTGTGTAAGAGTTGCAGACAATTACCTGGGATCTGTAATCACACGACCTGTGTAAGAGTTGCAGACAATTACCTGGGATCTATACTTTTCAACTTGCCAGGGCACCAGTGTGAGGGCTGGTGGATGGGGTGTGTAGTGTTGTGTGCACATACTGCATCCTTAAGGAGCATGTAAAAGTCGACTAAGAAGAGGGTTTCTACAAAGTTTGTGTGCATCCATCTGACAGATGGGGAAACAATAGTATGCATACAAATAAAAAGATAGGTAAAACGAATGTGCACTCAAAACTTAGGTTTTGGGAAAAGACACAATTTTTGTGTGTCACGTTGGTCTGGTAGTCTTAGTTTCAGCTTCATATTAAACGGGTCGCCCCATCTTTGCTCCACTCCTGTGCCAACGAAAAACACTCAGAATGTTTATCACAGTCCCTTGTGAAAAGATTGACAGACTGCTGTCTCAGCATTTCTAGCATACACTCGCATTAAAGCATACGGTAGCCATCCGAAGTGCTAGCACAAACAGTCCAACATTAGAAATGCAGTTCATCATTGATGATAGCAGAACTTGTCGCCAACAGATCAGCAGTTGCCCACGCAATAAATTGTAATCACATATGGGCACCCCGCCAACATTGCACGACAGGCATCACGCCATTTTCTGAACCTACAATTCACACCACCACGTTGGTCACAGTCGAAAACACATTCCAAATGCAATCCGCAGCTCACAGGTTCACGCTATGCATTCAACTCAGAAGCTGGGCGACGAAACTATATCCAGTCTACAAATGGAACAAAAATACTTCGGCCACCGTCCGACAGAAGCAAAAAAATTTGCCTCTGCTCCGAACAGCGCCGCTGTCTAGCGTCCATTTAAACCGGTGTGTGTGTGTGGACATGTTGTCCAGGGCATATGCCAAGTGCAGAAGTAGACGAGTAACCAGAACTTTCCGCCTGTGTCTAGAGCCGGCCAACACAAACAAAAAGACAAGAGATCAATTTTTGTGTCTATTTTGGCATGCAGTTTATTACATAATTCCGTTTTTATAAATTTTGACAATTTTTTTAACTATGCTTGATAAACAGACCTGGCATTAACTGATCTTTTAACGTTTTTGTAAATATCAACTCACACACAAAAGAAGTGAGACATCCTTGGTGAAGCAACTGGAAACCCCTTATTTAATGAAAGAGGTCTATGCTTGAGGAATGGAATGGGTCATCTACGGGTAAATATTACAGCCTAAAGTATGAGAAGGTCTAATATTTCACACACCAAAGAGAATAACTCTTCTAGAACTATCTTTAGCTGTCACCGTGCATGTGTTTGACATCATGTATATAAGATTGTGTTGTCAAAAAATCATTATCAGTAACACAATCAACGGTTTCATCTCCAGGTTTCGTTTTGGTGATCCAAGAGAAAGAACACGTCCACCTGAAGATCGTCAAACAGAGGCTGCGACAGTCCCTGAAGAAAAGCAAGGAGGCTCTTGACAAGGCTTCCAGCTACCGGGTGAGTTGTCTTATCTTTCTGTAATAATGCGATCTACATCATTTGTAAAACGGATGTGTATGCAAAACGCATGTTCTGGAACAAGACCAAAGTCCAGAAGTGGACAAACAACAATAATTTTCCACAGGTGAACGCTAGAAGAAGAAGCAGATCAACCAAAAGTGTAATATCGCTGGTGGTCATAGATTTAGACAATGCCATCTGCAGTTAAATGTATGTTTACGGATTCTTATTGATCGTGCTCGTTTATATTATACCTCCGTCTGATGTTCTGTTTCTTTCCTATAAACTCACCTGGTCTTTGAGCTCACCTCTCAGCTTTGACTAACGTTTATTGTGTCCATATCCACCTGGTCTTTGAGCTCACTTCTCAGCTTTGACTAAAGTTTATTGTGTCCATTTCTGTCAATCTAATCCACCTGGAGGGCGTGTCTAACAGTTTCTCTATTAGCTGTTAGCTCCGCCCAAGTAGGGGATGCAATTTTTGTTATTTTAAAACCTCACCGGGATGTTGCTGGAGACCAGAATATAACCTAAGGCTTAAACAGGATTTCTAGGACTTGTGCCACGGGAGATTCGCATCCTAATGGTTGCACTTTTTGTCATCGGGTGTTTGTAGCTCGTTGTCCGGTCCTGGGAGGGGTTAAAGGTCACTCACTCACTCACTCACTCACTCACTCACTCACTCACTCACTCACTCACTCACTCACTCACTCACTCACTCACTCACTCACTCACTCACTCACTCACTCACTCACTCACTCACTCACTCACTCACTCACTCACTCACTCACTCACTCACTCACTCACTCACTCACTCACTCACTCACTCACTCACTCACTCACTCACTCACTCACTCACCAGATTCTCTACATCAGCATGCCAAAGTAAGCTTCCCAGTGCAAGATCCACTGAGTTACTTGTATGTGTTTTGTTGCGGAAACTGACTATCCGGTCTTTTTGTTTTGATGGATTTGTGATTGTATTTTTCCCAGTTTTTGCTGCAGTTCAGCTGAGATGATACATCCTGTTTAGTACCAGCGCTGTTGCCTTGTCTATCTAACCTACGTTTTGCCCTGTTGACGATTCTCACTTGTTAAATGATCCACTAACAGAATGCTGTATGTGAGATGTGAGACCAGAAAGGCGCCTCTTAAAATGTCCTGTGTGCCCATTTCTCAACCTTTTGGAAATAATATACGTTCACTTGTTCGCTATCTAGTTTTTCGTTGGTTCGTTTGTTCTTTCTATTTTTTTTTTTTTTCACAGAATGACTACTTAAGATTTTTCTTATTCTAAATTGTCTTCTGTTCTACTCATTTATTTTTATTTTCCTTAGGCCTGCTTGTTTCCTGTCATTTTCTGTAACCACTAATCGACATTTTTATGAATATTATATTGTTCTTGCATCGACGTATAACTGTAAATTGTCTCATTTCTTTTGTGACGACAGCACGAAGTCAAGGCGTTAGCGGGGCTGTGTCGAAAGATGGGTGCCTCCGAGACGGAAATCACCGCCTGCTCACCGTCTGGTATGTACGCCCCTGCCACTTCTTTCATTTTTTACCCCCGCCTTAAGACGTACACTCGCTTTAAGACGTACTGGGTATATTTGCAATTCGGTGAATAAACAATTGGTCCTGACACAAACTAGAAACACACAGAGCCACTTTATACATAAGGCAGCCGCAAGAGGTGCCAGCATCAATAATCGCCTCCAGAATTCAGTGGGCGAAAGTTTCTGTCGATGGTTGAGTGGTCTTGCTGGCGAGGATTCAAAGTACATAAATAAATATCTGGGGAATCTCTGAGGCCACAGTGGCTGTTCCCTGTTCCGTGTAGACTTCAGGCTACTGTGTGGATTTCAGGCTACTGTGTGGACTTCAGGCTATTGTGTGGACTTCAGGCTACTGTGTGGACTTCAGGCTATTGTGTGGACTTCAGGCTATTGTGTAAGCCTGTGGGCTCCAATATAACTATTATGTGGTTTAACTGGGGTTTGTGGGATTTGTTGGTCCTGCAGACTGCAATACTGGAGGGGTTACAGACTATCTACCTACCTGGAGGTCATAGACACTGTCAAACAAATGAACGTCTATTTACTGGTATCATAAACTCATTAACTATCTTTATTTTTGACTGCCTTTGAAAGCTTGGTTGACATATTATGTTACCCCTTCTATGTCTGCCCCTTTCGGTCCAACATAACCGATTTCAACAAACGTTTGATAAGTAGTTGTTACCCATATGTTTTTTTTTTGGGACAGTGGGTTTATCTCCTCCCTTTCCCCAATGCTAGAAATAGAACCCTTAACACACACGATGAATGTAGTACCAAGTGGTCTATAAACATAGAGTTGCATCATAGGTCAACTAAAGTTAGAGAGGTGTAATGAGGCCTTTACTTTCCTCCAATGGAACAGAAACCATACACTTAGCAACACTGCTAAACATGTAGAATCTCGACTCTTGGAGCCGCTCAAAGTGGACAGATGGCTTCTGGGACACGTTTTGAGCCACATTTGAGTGACACGCGATGAACTGAATGTTTTTAAAAAAATCTTAATTTTTAGTGTTCTTTGTCTCACCCATGACGCTGGGAAACACCTTTTTTCCATAGGAAAACTATCATTCTGTCCATTTCTGGTGGACAACTATCATTCTGTCCATTTCTGTTCTACCAGGGAAAGCCAACAGACGAGGCAGTGTCCAGTCCGTCCTTGAAAGGGCGGTCTCGTTGACCTTCATCTCTACTATGTCCAGCATGGGTAGTCTGCCCAGTTTGTTCGACATGGGCGGCTCCAGTTCTGAGGAGGAAGATATCAGGTGGGCTCATGTGTTTGTAATTGTGGTGCTGGTATTTTGTTGTTGTTTCTGTTGTTTTTATTGTTGTGTTTCAAAATTGGTTCTCAGAACTATGCATGACTTGATTTTATGTGGTATATTATAGTTTTTTTTTTTTTTTTTTAATATTACAATTTATATTATATTTTATATTATGATAGAGAAACTAGCATTAGGTGGGAGAGTATTAGAGAAGGGATTCAGTAGAGACACCTTTCTTGTTTTTGTCCATGCCGTGTAGCGTTGGTCATCGTGTAGCGTTGGTCATCGTGTAGCGTTGGTCATCGTGTAGCGTTGGTCATCGTATCTCCCGACTGCCTTATCTCCTGAATTTTGGCAGTCATGTCTGATACAAGTGTATAATATTTGCTGAATCAAGTAGAATATGATTACTGGTAGGACATGATTGTTGGTAAAGAATATGATTTTTAGGCGGACATGATTGTTGGTAAAGAGTATGAATGTTAATAGGACATGATTGTGGACACAGGATATGGTGTTTGATAGGATATGAGTGTTAATAGGAAGAGACTGATGATGCTGACTTTATTTTGTTTTGTTCTACAGAGAGGACCAGAATGATCTGGAGAGAGGCCGAGGCCGCAAGCTGACATTAACAAGTGCCATCAGCAACGAAACCCTGGATTCCAACAGCGGCAACTTAGACACAGAGGACAGTCAACCGTACGAGGTGAGGTCCCGTGTGATATTACACTGTGACATCGTTCTCTTCTTCTTCGGCAAAGATGCAAAGATCTTGTTGTTTATCCAGTTCTGGATTTTTGTCTTAGTCCAGAGCTTGAGTTTTCTTGGCACACCCTTTTTACAGATCTAGATTTTTTCTTTTTTAAATTGGGGAAGGTAGACCTGGTTGTTCACCTTTCATGCAGATGAAATCCAGCTTGGAAGGAAGCATCCATAAATCGTTTACGACATGCTTATAAGGGGACAGTGGATCTAAATTGCAACTCCCGCCCCCACAATGGAGCCGTGGAATCCACACAGGGACACACTGTGAATCAGAGATCTGTATATAGTGGCTGTCCTTCTAGCAACACTTGCCGTCGTCGTGGGTTGTGAGTCCCACGCCTCCTCATTGCGCAATATAACACTATCGCCTGGAAAGAGGGAAAGGCGCCAATCAATGCCAATCATATAGTGGCCGTCTTAATAGCTCAAGCACACTGCCTTTTGTTTTTATGCTGCTATGTCATATTTTAGTATAACTTGGAGGATTGGCAGCTGTTCATAGGTGATCGTTTTCTGGCTTGTCCCTAGCCCGGGAAGTCATGTGTGCTACACAGCTCCCCAGGTGGGTTCATGCTGAAAGTAACGATTATTCCTGTGAGCAGGTGCCGAATTTGGCGTTATGTTGTGGTTAACAGCTAGCCTACAATATCTGCCCTTTCGGACTCAACACATCTGATTGCAACAAGCTTTTAATTAGTCGCGACAGATTTTGTCTTTGACACTGTTGTTTAGGAGTGAGTGTCGTGCATTATTTATTCTTCTCACTTGGATTTGCAGGCAGGTTTTATTATTGTCAAGTATTTCGTCTCCTACACCAGGATCTGAAAGTGTCTCAGTTCTGCTTAGTTTTTCGTCTTCCAAAACGGTATTTAGAATTTTGTGTCACTAAATGAGGCTAGCTAAAAAAAAGTTTACGATATGGTCATTATGTGGCAGCGGGTCTAAGCTCCACCCTCATCCCCCACAAAGGGGGGGGGGGGGAGAATTTTGATATAGTAATTAGTAGTGTTATTTAGTAATAGTTTTTATCTCCTCAATGTTCTCTATATCTCATTCAGTCTCTCTCTCTCTATCTCTCTCTTTTTCTCTGCCTCTCGTATTGTTCTGTATAAATATATCTGTCAATGTTCTTTATATATCTCTCAGCATTTTTATAAATCTCTCATTGTCTTCTGTATATCTCCCTCTGTGGTTTCTCTCTCTCTCTCTCTCTCTCTCTCTCTCTCTCTCTCTCTCTCTCTCTCTCTCTGTCTCATTGTTCTGTATATCTCTGTTAATCTTTTTATCTCTCTCAATATTCTTTATATATCTCTCTGTTGTATTTATATACCTCTCAATGATTTTTATATATTTTTCAGTGTTCTCTATATCTCTCTCAATGTTCTTTATATATCTCTCAATGATCTTTATATATCTCTCAGTATTCTTTATATCTCTCACAATGTTCTTTATATCTCTCCTAATGTTCCAGAACTTGGCTTTTGAAGATGATACGAGCAGAAGCAGATCAACGACAATAGAGAAAGAAGTGGGCCAAGAAGAGGAGGCGGTGTCCGACAAATCAGAAATAGAGCGGACAGACAGCAACAGCAGCCAGCCACCTGAATATGATGTTGTTATCATTAAAGATGTACGTTTTCCATAATCACTTAAATAATAAATATGTAAAAATTTCAATTTAATTTTAAAAATATGTCAGTATTTCACTTTATCTTTAATTTTGAATATCGTGTTTATTCGTCTTCTACATGTGCACATTCCAGAAAGCAATGGCAAACTACCGGACGTAAATTTGTCTAGAAAAACCACACAACAGCCAGGGGCTGTTGATGTTGGTTCTGCAACTTCCTGTAAAGGATACGCAACTAACACACATGTGTACATAAACCAAGCGTATAGAAAGTCCGAGAACCATTCCAAGTCCTGGCAGGGGAGAAATGGGCTACAGATAGCCTAAGAGCTAACAGATAGCCCAAGAGCTAACAGATAGCCCAAGAGCTAACAGATAACCCAAGAGCTAACATATAGCCCAAGAGCTAACACACAGCCCAAGAGCTAACACACAGCCCAAGAGCTAACAGATAGCCCAAGAGCTAACAGATAGCCCAAGAGCTAACAGATAGCCCAAGAGCTAACGCACAGCCCAAGAGCTAACACACAGCCCAAAAGCTAATACACAGCCCAAGAGCTAACAGATAGCCCAAGAGCTAACAGATAGCCCAAGAGCTAACAGATAGCCCAAGAGTTAACAGATAGCCCAAGAGCTAAGAGATAGCCCAAGAGCTAAGAGATAGCCCAAGAGCTAAGAGATAGCCCAAGAGCTAAGAAACAGCCCAAGAGCTAAAACACAGCCCAAGAGCTAACAGATAGCCCAAGAGCTACAGATAGCCCAGGAGCTAACAGATAGCCCAAAAGCTAACAGATAGCCCAAGAGCTAACAGATAGCCCAAGAGCTAACAGATAACCCAAGAGCTAACATATAGCCCAAGAGCTAACACACAGCCCAAGAGCTAACACACAGCCCAAGAGCTAACAGATAGCCCAAGAGCTAACAGATAGCCCAAGAGCTAACAGATAGCCCAAGAGCTAACGCACAGCCCAAGAGCTAACACACAGCCCAAAAGCTAATACACAGCCCAAGAGCTAACAGATAGCCCAAGAGCTAACAGATAGCCCAAGAGCTAACAGATAGCCCAAGAGTTAACAGATAGCCCAAGAGCTAAGAGATAGCCCAAGAGCTAAGAGATAGCCCAAGAGCTAAGAGATAGCCCAAGAGCTAAGAAACAGCCCAAGAGCTAAAACACAGCCCAAGAGCTAACAGATAGCCCAAGAGCTACAGATAGCCCAGGAGCTAACAGATAGCCCAAGAGCTAACAGATAGCCCAAGAGCTAACAGATAGCCCAAGAGCTAACAGATAGCCCAAGAGCTAACAGATAGCCCAAGAGCTAACAGATAGCCCAAGAGCTAAGAGATAGCCCAAGAGCTAAGAGATAGCCTAAGAGCTACAGACAACTGTAGACAACGTGACTGACTTTGTGTGCAGAAATGGATGCTGTCATCAACAGAGCAGGCGGCTGTTTCGTGTTGCTCTCTGAACAATAGAACTGTAAGAGCTAATGTTCCAAGCCTCACAATTAGGAACAATAACATCTACAGAGAAAGCAAACTGAGATACCTGGGTTTCACTTTCGATAGAAGCCTGTCCTATAGAGATCACATGGAGGCAGTTGCGGTGAGATGTCAAAAGGGACTCTGCTCTGAAGAGTATGGCAGCAATTAACATGAAACAAAGAATGCTGTTCCCAATGATCCAGCATGTGATCCTGTCGGTGATAGATTATGGACTTGGCAAGCTTACCATATCAAAGAATTAACTGATGAAACTTGAACAGATACAGAATGAAGCCATGCGGGTAATTCTGGAATGTACAAGAGATACCCCGGTAGTATGTATGCTATACTATTGCAGATAGGCTCAATGTTGTGCAAGCAAAGTCATATCTCAGAGTAGCTGCAGACAAGAAGTACCTCTTACATGAAGCCCTTGGAAGAGCTAAGGGTCACAGACTGAAAAGAGGAAGGTCTTGGATGGCTCAAGGGGAAGACACAATCAGACTTGTGTGCAAGCTTGATAAATTTGTGCAAGGTGAGGATAGATCAAAGTGTCCGAGCAAGTTTCACGACTTGTGTAGGGTTCTCATTACTTTGGGTTGTGACAGGGACTGGACAGCTGGTGCTGCAGAATCAGAAGTTCAACAAATAATGTATGACACTTCCCGCCCAAGTTATGTGATTATCTATACAGATTGCTCTGTGTTGAGGGCCAGACAAAGTTCATAGTAAATGCGAATGGACGTCGCTTAGTGCCAAAAATCCTTGCAGGCAGTCACTGCTGCATTCCCCTGACTTGGGAATCAGCTGTACGCACATGCAGTGATTGACTCACAGAGCGTGTTGACAAAGGTGCAAACAGGTATGCTCCGTGCATAGTGGCAAGCATCAACGGTCCTGGATAGTTAACATTATTTGGATATTCTCTCCAGATTATGCCATTGTGTTGGGAAATGAGCAGGCAGATAGACTGGCCGGTTCCGCACCACTTGGTGGAGAACTGATGTATGACAAGCCAGATGTTGTGAGACCCCTCTGGGAGCGAGTGAGCAGTGCCAAAGCGCAAATAGATCATTACGGTCTGAGGAGAATTGCGATGCCAGGAGTTACCAGGGGATCTAGTCGACGCTCAACACTCAAAGGAAAGACGAGACGGATATATATTCAGGCAGTTACTGGTGTCATCGGAGTTGAAACTCTTCATTTACTACTGAAGATGGGGACGAAGCGCTTATGGGAGTGTCCCGAGTGCTATGGTGTCGATTTTTAATGCAGAATTCTGCCAGGATTTAAAGGCAGTCTTCTGTCTTGTTTAATTTTTTCGCATCAAATACTAATAGTAAATACTTTCACAAGCACAATATGATGTCAAAATAATTAACATTATGTTTATAATTTATTATTATTGTTATTACTATTTGTATACATTAGGTTGTACGTAGACAGAAGCATAAGACGTTGGCCTTTAATATTGTTCACGTGTTTTCAAATACCGCATATCTACAGAAATAATGTAAATCAAAGCCACTGACAACAACATCCCCCCCCCTTCCTCCCTCCCCCCCCCCCCAGGTCTCCCAAGTCCTTTCCTTCCCCCGAGTGTACATAGAAAAGAAACTGGCGTGTCACCCTGGTAGCTAATGTTATCATATTCGACGTCACTGCACATTGGACATTCCCATGTAGGCTCAGTCCTTCGATGCAGAAGCCACTCCAAGAACTTTCTACTGATTGTTTCCAATAGTTGGTTATAATGTCTCCTATCTCGGCCTTGAAGGCGACAAGACGTGCTTGACCATGTTTTGTTCCCATGTCACGCTACCGTATTTATACCAGAGATTCTTCATTATCTGCTAGTCTAAGGTGCTGTCTGACACGACCAGGCAACTATTTATGAGTCCATTACCACAGAGACGTCTCATGTAGTTAGTTACCTACTGTGTTGTGCGGTAAGTTTATGATTGTACGGAAATATAGCAGTCATGATTTTACTGTCATCATTTGTATTGGTATGCTAATGCATTACTTGGTAGTAAAAACAGACAGGCAATACATGAGTGAATCAGTCAATTATTAATTGGATTTACCAGCAAATCCCTTCCAACATACCGTACATTTCGGCGTTCATGTCGACAAACTATTGACGTTCAGATCAAGATTGTTAGCTAAAAATTCTGAATAGACCTTACTTACCCACTTTACCCCACCATATAAGTCGATCTCTAATTTTGCAAAGATTTTTCAGCTTGTAAATTCGACTTACAAGCTGCAATTTATGGTATGTACTTTAAATGACTTTGCAAAAGAGTTACAGTATTTGCGGATGATGTCTTATTGTTCTAGTCGATTTTACGCCCAGTAGTTTGTCACTGCTTTTATAACGGCACGACGCTCATACTTGTGTAAAAAAAAAAACTACACGAATTGGTCTACCGCATAACTATTGAATAAAAAAAAAGTTAGATAAAAATGTTAGATAAAAATGTATCCATGTTCACAAGAAAGGGAAATAATTAAAAACACTCTAAATCAATTTGTGTAGCTTCTAGTTATGTCCCTTTTATTAATTTTTGAAAGAAAACGAAAAAAATTTAAAAAAAACGGCGCGGCACTCCTTCCCAAACTTTGCAAATATTGATATGAATAGATGACCTATACTGGATGTTCATGTAAACAACATCAGGCCGATCGCTTTACCTGCCAGAAAATATTCAGTTACACATTGTATGTTCAACGATGTCTATACAAAGATGAATCTATTTTTATGTGCCCGATGCAATACTGACATTAAAAGGGCTTTTACTGACTTTATTTACACACTGTGTGTAATCGTCTCCGTCTCAAAGTCTGCAGACGTGACACTTTATCATGCCCTGCCCCGCCGGGATACCAGACGTGACACTTTATCGTGCCATGCCCCGCCGAGATACCAGACGTGACACTTTATCGTGCCCTGCCCCGCCGGGATACCAGACGTGCCACTTTATCGTGCCCTGCCCCGCCGGGATACCAGACGTGACACTTTATCATGCCCTGCCCCGCCGGGATACCAGACGTGCCACTTTATCGTGCCCTGCCCCGCCGGGATACCAGACGTGCCACTTTATCGTGCCCTGCCCCGCCGGGATACCAGACGTGACACTTTATCATGCCCTGCCCCGCCGGGATACCAGACGTGACACTTTATCGTGCCCTGCCCCGCCGGGATACCAGACGTGACACTGTATCGTGCCCTGACCCGCCGGGATACCAGACGTGACACTTTATCATGCCCTGCCCCGCCGGGATACCAGACGTGACACTTTATCGTGCCCTGCCCCGCCGAGATACCAGACGTGACACTTTATCGTGCCCTGCCCCGCCGGGATACCAGACGTGCCACTTTATCGTGCCCTGCCCCGCCGGGATACCAGACGTGACACTTTATCATGCCCTGCCCCGCCGGGATACCAGATGTGCCACTTTATCGTGCCCTGCCCCGCCGGGATACCAGACGTGCCACTTTATCGTGCCCTGCCCCGCCGGGATACCAGACGTGACACTTTATCATGCCCTGCCCCGCCGGGATACCAGACGTGACACTTTATCGTGCCCTGAGGGATTCTCATTAGAACTGTAACACTTTGAGTCACCGGGTGTTGATCGCTCGGTGTGCTGTCTTAGAATCATATCTTGTTCTTTGTCCTTTTCTGACTCTAATCCTGTTCCAGGGCCTGAGTCTAACATGCACATCCGTTTTACAGATTTGACTCATTTGTATGCGGATTGTAAGTTCTTTGTCTATCAGGTTGCTGCATTCCGACATCGAAGAAAGCTTCCAATTAGTCGACTATTACGACATACTTTTGGGTAGGCAGTTGGTCTGATTTGGTTTTCCCTCTTACAGAGGCCCCGGAATGCACACTCGGAATTGGAAATATCAATCCATCATTTTATGACAAACGAGCAGTCGACCACGTTCAGTCTACTGCTAGCACTATCGAGTCAACTATGAACCTATGAATTGTTATAAACTGATAACACAGTATAAATATGCACCAATATTGCTACACTTCATGCGCCAATAAACTGGAGCAGCCGCCAAAGATCTGATTTGGATAACCATAAAATGTGTTGCTGCATGCCTGGTAGTTTTACTGGACTTTTTAAAAGCCAAAATGTTTAATTTTTATCTTAGTTTTCTGTCTGCTGTTGCAGGGAAATGATACACGGTTATAGATCTTGTGATGGCGCCAGACATATCCAGGAGCCAAACAGATCAGGGATCCAGAAACCCAGGGCAACCACACAAGACAGGCGTCAAACAGGCACTACCTGCTTGGATGACCCAACAACCGAGATACAGTCACCAGTTTGAGCTGACAGTTTTTGTTTTTGCCATTTTCTGATGTGATATCTGCAGTAACCAGAGATGCATTATAAACAGGAATACTGCTTACTTAGTGGTTTCGGCAGTAACCACAAACTTATTATAAAAGATACTGTGTGATATATGTGATGGTTTTAGCAGAACACAAACAAACCGCACTTTGTGTTTGATGTTTTATACAAGGTCAAAAATAGCTACCGAGCTGTGAGTCACACAGTTTCGTCTACCGTTCTTACTTTTGATTGTCACAGTTATTTAACATGCTTTCTAGTTTTCTATTTTTTTTTTTTTTGGTTGTTGTTGCAAAGTATACATTGGCGTTTCAATATGTAAATGATGAGCATGCAACAACAGAACAAAGCAAGCGATTGGTTATTTCAACCGACTGAAATTCATTGAAAAGTTCCAGAAGACCAAAACTGAGCAGAATTCAGTCACGAAAGTGACGCAAATAACACAGACCACAAATATAGGCGGAGACTGTTAGCAGCCTCGGCTAGCTAGCAGCAGTCTGAAAGTGGTCGACCTTTTCATTTTTTCTCAAAAGGACTTGAACTTGGAAAACTGAGCACATAATTATCAGCGAGATATCTACTTACATAGATGTTTATTGGTTATTTGTTTCTGAAGGTTATAATTAGATCTTGAACATTGGAGAATCTGATGTAGAGTGTATCATCCCAGCTGCAGCCAAGATAATACAGCCACAGAGTCTGATTAACAGGTTCTTTTCCACTCCACAAGAATAGCAACATGTGGAGAATTCTCCAAACTAAACATTCCGAACCAAGAGCTAAACATTCCGACCAGAGAACTAAACATTTCGCATTAAAAATAAATTTTACGACCAGAGAACTAAACATTTCGCACTAAGAACTTAACTTTACAGCCAGAGAACTAAACATTTCTCACTAAGAATTAAACATTACAATCAGACAACTAAACATTTTGCTTTAAGAACTAAACATTCCGACCAGAGAACTGAATATTTCGCACTAAGAACTAAACTTTACAACCAGTGAACACAAATTTCGCAGCAAAACCTAAACATTCCTACCAGAGAACTAAACATTTCGTACTAAGAACCAAACATTCCAACCAGAGACTAAACATGTGGCACTAAGAACTAAAAATTACAACTAGAGAACTAAACATAATGAGAGAAACTGACACTATGTCTTGGTTACTATTATAAAGTTGGTTGCACAGTCTTTAAAGAACCGTGCAGAACCACCACAGCATTTTGTTGTTGTTGATGTTTAGTTTTACTTAGCAATTGTATCTTTAATAGACTGCCGTTGCCTCATCAACTGTCGGCGCTTTGTAGCATGTCACAATAAGTCTCCTGTCCAATCGTCGGCACCTAAAATCGAAACTAGGTGTTTCGGAATTATTTAGCCTGTTCGCAAAGCCTAAACCACCGACTAGTATTATACACTGTTATGTAAATATTAAATATAATCATAAGATCACGCAATTCTGGAATAGTAGTAGCTTTGCCAAAAGCGTCTTTACTTTTTCAGTTCTACCGTCTTTACTTTTTCAGTTCTTGAACTTGCCTATGTATATAATGGGACCCTAATTGCTGGGATTGGAGAAGGGGGGGGGGGGGATACAAACATTTTTGCCTTGAAATTGTATGTAATAAACAAACAGACTGTGTACTGGTTGGTAATCACACACTAGACAACATACAAGTCGAATATTATATTTACTGTGCCAGGAATCGAACCTGTCACCTACATATGGCATGTGTGCGTTAGTAAAACCAGCGTACTAAGACACATGACCATATAAATCTAGGCACACCTAAAACAAATGTCTTTATTAACCATGTCTATCGTGCATCCTGAAATCCACAACTGTGGATTAGGAACATAATGCGTCTGACACCATGTCAGTAGCACCAGAGGTCACTTAAATCTATAGTAACCAGTTTATATTGACCAAGCCTGATATGTTTATAATTGTTGTTGTGTTACTTGTTGTTCGACCTATGCTTGGTTACAATACATTTCTATAAATGTGTATGTTGTCTACTGTATTATCGTTCTATCTTTTTACTTCTTTCTATGAATGCTAAATGACCTCTAGGAGTTTATTGAAAGGCGTAGATGTTTGCAGTCCATCCGTAAACCACAACATCATGTGACAACAGCTTTTTAATGGTGAACGCAGAAGAAGAAGAGGTCGCAGAACTGTTCACAGCAAATGTTTTAAAGGAAAGCGGAGAGGGGGTTAGTGACTAATTACGCCTTGAATGTTGTGAGATATCTAATTGTTTAGGTACTTTAGCCACATGAGATATCTAAGTGGTCACATAAATGCTGATATCCCTAATTGGAACAAACATTACAGGTACGTTGGTGTGGCTGCTGTATTCGAGGACTGAGCAGTCAGGGTGTGCAGTGGGGTAGATATCGATAACATGATATAATATAGAAATAGGACAATCGAAGATATGTAGTTAATAGAATAAGTAATTAAATGTGTTGTACAAGGTAGATAATCCACACTTATATTGCCACAGATCCTTCGCGGGGCAATTGTAATTTTAATTATTTTGTAATCTGTGTGTTACATTATGTAATTTATGAATATGATGTTGATTACCATCTCTAATCAGACATTAATAAATTATTTTCTTATATGTCTTGTACATACATACATACAAATAATATGTCTCATACAAGGATGTAATTACTGTTATAAGTCCCTTGAACAAGACCTATAACTCATTATTTTTACTGGCAGCTGTCTTCAGGGTGCAAAGAGAAACACTTACCGTAGCCGTTAGAAGGGGCACAACTATAACTTCTTTAGTGACTGAACATGTTACTTAGGAAACTACATCGGGGAAACAGTAAGTAAATAACAGATAAGCAACACTAAAATGTTCAGCAATCGTCCAATATCATATATTCAATATTTCCCAGGTTGGACACTACTGGATTAAACTCTAGTCTAGTGTTGATAGGCATTTCTCCTATCATCCCTTTGAGGAATGCAATTTTTCGTTATTTAAAGCCCTACTCTGGCTCTTGCCAGGGGGCGGAATAAATTATTACTATAAATATGGTCTAATGGCTGAAAGCGGTTTCTGTGACCTCTCCACGGTGATCCTCATCCACATGGTGACACTGTGTTATCGGGTGCCTATCGCTTGTGTGTCCTGGTGGGGTAAAAGAAGATTGTTAGATAGATGTTGATGGGTAGACGAGTTCTTTGTCGACAAGAATATAAAAGTACTAACTCCAAAGCTACCCAGGTTTTAACAAATCAATTCAGCCTACAACAAGGTTAAAAACCACACAAAATATGGAAGAATGGCATCAAGAATAATCAATCTTATAGACATGGAGAACATTTTTTTAAGCGCATTAAAACTAAAAGACAGAAGATAAAAAAATCTCCATTTACTGTTTAATGAGGGCATCTTGATTACGACAATAGGAAGAATGCTTCATTACACACCTCGACAATTTGTTCATGTCCCTTCTACAAGGAAGATGAGCAGGTAGTTAGACAACTCTGTAATTCCATTGTTACTCATCAATCGATCCTAAATGTAATGATTTTATTGTTGAATTAAAGATAAAGGTGAGAGGATAGACTTGATTGCAACAGGTTTTAAACCATATGGCGCAGTCTCCGAGGCGTCAGACAAGGCACGACCCCCGTAGCACCAGTGACGATCCCAGGGATCTCCGTAATAACTGGTGATGTGAACCGCGCCTCCGTGAAACGTACCCAGCACATTCAGAGGTAGAGACAAACGGCTTGACCGCTTCCACACGGAGACTACCAAATTTTATTGTATAATAATCAAAGGTGACTTTTGCATTGAACCGCAGGTTGTCCGCTGCCTATTTTAAGGACCAGATTCACAGTGATTTACTGCCTAGTTTGAGGATCAGATTCACACTGATTTACTGCCTAGTTTGAGGACCAGATTCACAGTGATTTACTGCCTAGTTTGAGGATCAGATTCACAGTGATTTACTGCCTAGTTTGAGGATCAGATTCACAGTGATTTACTGCCTAGTTTGAGGACCAGATTCACACTGATTTGCTGCCTAGTTTGAGGACCAGATTCACACTGATTTGCTGCCTAGTTTGAGGACCAGATTCACACTGATTTACTGCCTAGTTTGAGGACCAGATTCACACTGATTTGCTGCCTAGTTTGAGGACCAGATTCACAGTGATTTGCTGCCTAGTTTGAGGACCAGATTCACAGTGATTTACTGCCTAGTTTGAGGATCAGATTCACAGTGATTTGCTGCCTAGTTTGATTGCCAGATTCACAATGATTTGCTGCCTAGTTTGAGGATCAGATTCACAGTGATTTACTGCCTAGTATGAGGACCAGATTCACAGTGATTTACTGCCTAGTATGAGGACCAGATTCACAGTGATTTACTGCCTAGTTTGAGGATCAGATTCACACTGATTTACTGCCTAGTATGAGGACCAGCTTCACACTGATTTGCTGCCTAGTTTGAGGATCAGATTCACGGTGATTTGCTGCCTAGTTTGATTGCCAGATTTACAGTGATTTACTGCCTAGTGTGAGAACTAGATTTACAGTGATTTTTTGCCTAGTTTGAGGACCAGATTCACAGTGATTTACTGCCTAGTGTGAGGACCAGATTTACAGTGATTTACTGCCTAGTGTGAGGACCAGATTTACAGTGATTTACTGCCTAATAATCCAAAGGACAATTAAAATGCAATGTTTGCTCACAGTTTGTTATACCTGTTAATTGGCTTTATTTATTTTTATGAATACATTTGAAATAAACATAGTAATGAACAGCATATTACGTCTGCTGTTCTAAAAAATACT